TATGCCCCCGGCGAGGTAATATAGGATAAAGCCTATTTTGTACAACTTCCCCTCACTATCCCTGTCCGCATGTGCTGCTATTAAATGACAAATGATTTTTGGAAAATTCTCTTTTAAAAAAAAATACATCATGAAATATGACAAATTAAATATCTAATTAATTGAAATTTAATTAATTATAATAATAATAATAATAAAATAATAATAATAATAATAATAATAATAATAATAATAATAAGTTGAAAAGAAGTTAAAATTTCAAAAAGTTGGGAAATTGTTGATTTCGCCATTTTTATTTAACAGATAATAAAATTTATAACCATTGGTAAAAGTATATGAAGTAATTCGGAATTCGGAAGTATCTCTCTGCATAGGGAATTTGATATAATTTTCAATGCATGATATAACTTGTGACATTGTTTTCCATGGGTCGCAAGTATCACGATCAAATTCCGAGATAGAGTTTAAAGAAGCTAATTATGATTTTGTATTTCACCAATAATTTTGTTGTTATTTTTAAAGTATATATTATTTCAGAGGTGCTATATCCAATATTTAATTCTCAGAAAAATCTCGCCTAATAATTTTTACCAAAAACTCCTTCGTAGCCTTCTCTAATGTAACAGTTAAACAACTCCTACGTAAAGCTAGGATTAGTTCCGACTTCTTGCTCTCTAAGTAATAGTGATAATATCCATGTCAGTCAACAATGTTAATGATGCAGTTAAATATACTCGATAAATATTGTAACATAAATATTGTGTAATCAAATACTCATTTAAAAATAAAAATTATCATTAATACTAAAAGGTTAAAATGTCATATGCAAAATTATTGACAGCAGATAGAAGAGCATTGGTATTTAAAATTTATATTGAAATGCATAATGATGCTTATTCTGCCTTTTCCACTATTTCTGACAGAGAAAATAGAAAAGATTTTTTTTTACAATTAGTCAAAGAAAATAAAAACCTTTTAGAAAATGAAAAAGAATATTGTAGAGAAAAGTATATTTATGATCTTGAATTACATAATGCAAGGGATAAATTGGGAGAACCAAGAAAATGTAAAAATTGTAAAACAACAAGATATTCTGATAAATTTTGTGAAAGGTGTATTAGTTTACACTTACAGAATTTTTTTGATACTTGGACATCTGGAAATGAAATAATTGATAATTTTATTCAAAAATGTCAAAAGATTTCATCTCTTCCACTTCATATTATAGAATGGATACCTTATGAACAATTTGAAGATGTAAAAAAGTTAACAGAAGGTGGATTCAGTTCAATTTATA